TAAACCTATAAATGTAGGCTCATAGATCTATTTCCCCATCCTCATATAATATATTTGTATATGTACATGTCTTTATCTAGAGCTCTATAAATAACCTTTGCCTCCCAGCTTTGGCCTCCCTTTTTACTGCTTGTGAGGTACCTGTCCTTTTTGGCCACTTGAGTGCTAGTCTTTTATTCTTTATTTGTCCTAGTTTGTGGTTCCCCCCCTCCCGATTGTTTTAATTTTCTTTATGATATATTTTGATGTAAAATTTTTTTTGACTACTGTTGCATTTGTATTTACAGTTCTTTCCTGCTTAGATGGTCTTGTTGTAGTACAGACTTTTTAACTGTTTTTGTATTTGTGTTTTTGTTTTAGTTGCAACTACTGGTCCATCAGTGTATTATAGTCAGTCACCAGCATATAATTCCCAGTATCTTCTCAGACCAGCAGCTAATGTTACTCCCACAAAGGTAACAAAGGAATACTTTATACGTGAATAAATACAGTTGATTCTCATAATTCATGGTAGTGGTCTGTAAAGTATCCTAGACTACTTACTTAGCAAAATAACGAACCATTGCTTGTAGAATACAAGGGGGTTATGTTCCTGTGTGCTTTTTATCAGTTACTCAGTACATGATCTTTTGTTATGTGTGCTTTTTAAAGATTAAATATTAAACATCTATTGCTAATTGATTAACAGCATTGTGAACCATGACTGAGTGAAGCATATCTAACATTTTCTCCCTGAGGCAACAGCATAGTTGTCTTGGGCTTAGGAATTGTAGCGAGCACTTTGCTGCTTTGCTTGGGGGCCACTTTGATCAATGAAATCACCAGCCCCAGAGCATAAAAAAATAGGCCATTAAATAGCTTGCAAAAAGGATGCTGCTTTATAGTATGAGGGCTGAAAGCAGTGCTTCCATGCTCAACCTCAGCTGGAAACATGTATATTGAGCGACCCAATTTTTGGTGCTCTATGTGTGTCTGCCTATGGCTGTAAACGGCCGTAACTATTGTTTGTGGGGAATTAGCTATAACATTGCACTATAGGTGAGTTTGCCAATGTGGAATCCATGAACAGTGTGAGTCACCTGTATCAAATTTTCAATTGTTTAGGTTTCCTTCAGAGAAATTATAGGAGAAATGCTTTATTAGTACTATTCCTTAAGAATAGATCTTTTAGATTTCTTTCTAGATATAGAAGTGGTACTTAGTTTATTTTTGTATTCAGTGTGAATATTTAGGATTATTTTTAATATGAGATGGGGGTAGACCCTTCTTCATTCTGCTTTGGCAGAAAATGATCCTAGAATATTTTAGCCTGCTCGTCCTCTGGGTAAGTAAGTAGCTAATGGCTTGAAAATGTGACTTAAAAACTATTGATGGAGAACAAATATTAAAACAGTAGTGAGGATTTAGGTGCCTTTAAACCTAGATTTTCTACTTATTGTGACCTTGGGCAAGTTTCTTAATCTCTGTATGTCAGTTACCTTATGTATAATAATAATAATACCTTTCTTCATTGGGTGCTATTAAAATGAGCTTATAAATATGTAAAGTGCCAGTTGCTATATTAGTAAATACTTAGTAAATACCTAGTAAATGTTAATCTTCATCAACACTGCCACTATTATTGTTAACATTATTTGATGCATTATTTAGGAATGAAGAAGATATGTGTTTTGATTTATTGTGGCAGATGGTACATTTAGAACAATTTTCAATTTATGGCATGAAGGGTTATAAGCTTCAATTGTCTTTGTAGGTAGCATTGCTTTCTTGAAGTGATGTGTTATAAGCCCTGATCATACCGTCTTTATCTAATGATTCTTAGGTTTGATGTTTGTGAGAATTTGTCTAGTGATGCTTTTTTGAACAGCCTACAAACATTTTAACTTTTTTTTTTCTTGCAGGGTCCAGTTTATGGTCTGAATAGACTTCCCCCTCAGCAGCATATTTATGCTTATTCACAACAGATGCACACACCACCAGTACAAAACTCATCTGCTTGTATGTTTTCTCAAGAGATCTATGGTCCTCCCCTGCGCTTTGAGTCTCCTGCAACAGGAATTTTATCACCCCGGAGTGATGATTACTTTAATTACAATGTTCAACAGACAAACACAAATCCACCTTTGCCAGAACCAGGTTATTTCACAAAACCTCCAGTTTCAGCTCATGCTTCAAGATCTGCAGAATCTAAGGTTATCGAGTTTGGAAAATCTAATTTTGCTCAGCCTGTTTCAGGTGAAGGAATAAGGCCATCTCTGACAACACCAGCACATGCAACGCAACCAGCTCCTTTTAAATTTAACTCAAATTTCAAATCAAATGACGGTGACTTTACGTTTTCCTCACCACAGGTTGTGACTCAGCCCCCTTCTACAGCTTACAATAACAGTGAACGCCTTTTGGGGCTTCTGACTTCAGAGAAACCACTGCAAGGAGATGGCTATAGTGGACCAAAACCTACACCTGGTCAAACCATTGGACCTCGAAATACTTTCAACTTTGGAAACCAAACTGTGTCTGGAATTTCCTTTACAGAAAATACGGGGCCAACTCGGCAAACAAATTCTGGTTTTCGCCTAAGCAATGATACGTTTACTTTCCATGGTTCAGGGAAAGCCGTGTTTGGAACACCAGCTCCAGAGTTGGCGCACAAGAACCATGAAACAGATGGAAGCAGTGCTCAAGTTGATGAAGATGATGATGGCCCTCACTTTGAGCCGGTGGTACCTCTTCCGGATAAAATTGAAGTGAAAACTGGTGAGGAAGACGAGGAAGAATTCTTTTGTAATCGTGCAAAATTATTCCGTTTTGATGCAGAATCCAAAGAATGGAAGGAACGGGGCGTTGGCAATGTGAAAATCCTAAGGCATAAAACATCTGGTAAAATTCGTCTTCTAATGAGACGAGAGCAGGTTTTGAAGATCTGTGCGAACCATTATATAAGCCCCGAGATGAGACTGACTCCAAACGCTGGCTCAGACAGATCTTTCGTGTGGCACGCTCTTGATTATGCAGACGAGTCCCCGAAGCCAGAACAGCTTGCTATAAGATTCAAAACTCCCGAGGAAGCAGCACTTTTTAAGTGCAAGTTTGAAGAGGCCCAGAACATTTTAAAAGCCTCAGGAGCAAATGTAGCCACACCGACAAATCAGACTCCCAGAACTGTAAAAGAGCCCCTAAGTCGTGACAATAAGGATATTTGCAAACCTGATGCCGGAAGTTTGAATTTTGAATTTCAGTTTGCAAAGAAAGAAGGTTCTTGGTGGCATTGTAATAGCTGCTCACTAAAGAATGCTGCAACTGCTAAGAAATGTGTATCGTGCCAAAATCTAAAACCAAGTAATAAAGAACTCTCTGGCCCACCATTAGTTGAAACTGCTCCCACTTTTAAAATTGGCCTAGAAAGTGTTCAGGATAGATTTGCAATGAGGACCCCCAAGAAAGAAGGTCACTGGGAGTGTAGTACCTGTTCAGTCAGAAACGAACCCACTGCGTCTAGGTGTAACACATGCCAGAATACACAGTCTGCTGGCAAAAGTGGGTCTTCATTTGTCCAGCCATCTTCCTTTAAATTTGGTCAGGGAGATCTTCCTAAATCCGTTAGCAGTGATTTCAGATCAGTAATTTTTTGTGCTAAGGAAGGAGAGTGGGATTGCAGCGCATGTCTTAAACTCAATGAAGGCAGCTCTACAAAATGTAATGCTTGTCAGCATCCAAGAAAACAGAGTCAACCTGCTTATGTTCCAGCACCTGCCTCTTTTAAGTTTAGTACTTCAGAGACAAGCAGGACTCCGAAGAGTGGATTTGAAGGCATGTATGCTAAGAAGGAAGGACAATGGGACTGCAGTGTATGCTTGGTACGGAATGAAGCAAGTGCTACCAAATGTATTTCTTGTCAGAATCCAAGTGAAGAGAGCCTGCCTAGTTCTGCTGTTTCAGCACCTGCCTCTTCAGAGATGAGCCAGGCTCCAAAGAGTGGATTTGAGGGAATGTTCACCAAGAAGGAAGGACAGTGGGATTGCAGTGTGTGCTTGGAACGAAATGAGAATTCTTCTTTAAAATGTGTGGCTTGTGACAACTCTAAGCCAACCCACAAGCCGCCTGTTGCAGAAACTTCAGTTTTAACTGTAGGCCCCAAATCTGCATTAAGGGACTCGTCTGGAAGTCAGATGGGCACAGGATTTAAAACAGGCTTTTCAGGAAAAGGTTTTAAATTCGGAAGTTCTGAGCAAGGTTTTAAATTTGGGCATGTGGATCCAGAAAATATACCTTCATTTACATTTCAGAGTTCTAATGCTGAATCCAAGTCAACAAAAGAAGGATTTAAGTTTTCCATCCCTGTGTCTGCTGATGGATTTAAATTTGGCATCCAGGAGCCAGGAAACCAAGAGAAGAGTGACAATGAGAAGCCCATTGAAAGTGACACTGGTTTGCAGGCCCAGGAGGCCAGTGCCCAGAAGAATGGAGGTGGTTTGACTTTTGGTCAGACTAGTAGCACTTTTACCTTTGCAGATCTTGCAAAATCAACTTCAGGGGAAGGATTTAAATTTGGCCAAAAAGATCCTAATTTTAAGGGATTTTCTGGTGCTGGAGAAAAATTATTTTCATCACAGAGTGGTAAAATTGTTGATAAAACCACGTCAGCGGACCTTGAAAAAGATGATGATGCCTATAAGACTGAAGACAGTGATGACATCCATTTCGAACCAGTAGTTCAAATGCCTGAAAAAGTAGAACTTGTAACAGGGGAGGAAGATGAAAAAGTTCTTTACTCACAGAGGGTGAAATTATTTAGATTTGATGCTGAGATAAGTCAGTGGAAAGAAAGGGGCTTAGGGAACCTAAAAATTCTCAAAAATGAAGTAAATGGCAAACTGAGGATGCTGATGCGAAGAGAACAAGTGCTAAAAGTCTGTGCTAATCATTGGATCACCACCACAATGAACCTGAAGCCGCTCTCTGGATCTGATAGAGCATGGATGTGGTTAGCTAGCGATTTTTCTGATGGTGATGCTAAGCTAGAACAACTAGCAGCAAAATTTAAAACACCAGAGCTAGCTGAAGAATTCAAGCAGAAATTCGAAGAATGCCAGAGACTTTTATTAGACATACCACTTCAAACCCCCCATAAACTTGTTGATACGGGGCGAGCTGCCAAGTTAATCCAGAGAGCTGAAGAAATGAAGAGTGGACTGAAAGATTTCAAAACCGTTTTGACAAATGAGCAAACAAAAGTCACCGACGAAGAGAATACGAGTCCAGGCTCAAGTGCTGCCAATGTTTCAGACACGAGTAAGCCAAATTCTGAAAACACGGGGCCTACATTAGAGTGGGATAACTATGATTTACGAGAAGATACTTTGGATGACAGTGTGAGTAGCTCAGTACACGCTTCTCCATTGGCAAGTAGCCCTGTGAGAAAAAACCTCTTCCGATTTGGTGAGTCAACAACAGGATTTAACTTCAGTTTCAAATCTGCCTTGAGTCCATCTAAGTCTCCTGCCAAGTTAAATCAGAGCGGGACTTCCGTTGGTACTGATGAAGAATCCGATGTCACTCAAGAAGAGGAAAGAGATGGGCAGTACTTTGAACCCGTTGTGCCTTTACCTGATCTCGTCAAAGTATCCAGTGGTGAAGAAAATGAACAGGTTGTTTTTAGTCACAGAGCAAAACTCTATAGATATGACAAAGATGTTGGCCAGTGGAAAGAAAGGGGCATTGGCGATATCAAGATTTTACAGAATTACGAGAACAAGCAAGTTCGCATAGTGATGAGAAGAGACCAGGTATTAAAACTTTGTGCAAATCACCGAATAACTCCAGACATGACTTTACAAAATATGAAAGGGACAGAAAGAGTGTGGGTGTGGACTGCATGTGATTTTGCAGATGGAGAAAGAAAAGTAGAACATTTAGCTGTTCGCTTTAAACTACAAGATGTTGCAGACTCATTTAAGAAAATTTTTGATGAAGCAAAACTCTCTCAAGAAAAGGATTCCTTGATAACTCCTCACGTTTCTTGTCCCAATACTCCCAGAGAGTCACCATGTGGCAAAATTGCTGTAGCTGTGTTAGAAGAAACCACTAGAGAGAGGACGGATTTGATTCAAGGCGAGGATACAGCAGATGCACCTTCAGAAGTTGGAGAAGTGTCTAGCATATTTGAAACCACGACAAAAGCTGTGGTTTCTCCTCCAAAGTTTGTCTTTGGTTCAGAGTCTGTTAAAAGCATTTTTAGTAGTGAAAAATCCAAACCATTTGCTTTTGGCAACAGTTCAGCCACTGGGTCTTTGTTTGGATTTAGTTTTAATGCACCTTTGAAAAATAACAATAGTGAAGCCACTTCAGTCGTCCAAAGTGGATCTGAAAGAAAAGTGGAACCTAACAGATGTGAACTGTCAGAGAACTCTGATAACAAGCAGTCTTCAGATCGCAAAGCCAGGAATGTCTCTGCTTCCTCTCCAAAGGAAGAGTCTGCGGCTCACGACACATTTAAAGCACCAGAGAAGGGTGAGTGCTTAGTCTTCAGTGTTAACATTGGGCCGTCAGCAGTGTTTTGTATCTTGTGAATACCCAAAAATATTTGAACAGATTTTTTCCCCTCCCAAAGTAAGTTTGCCTCTGAGTGCTTAGGTGGCAACAGTGCTATCTAGATTTCACAGCTGCAAGACATTTATTCTTCTTAAGGCAGAGGGTTAACTTACGTAGTATGAAAGCATTCTGACTCATGGACTGAGGAGCATCGATAGCATATTTCATTCCTTCATTCTTCATTTTACTTGTCACTCAAAGAACATGGGAGTTGCATGCTCAGATTTTGTTTACGTCTTGCTTTGATTAAAGGGAGCACAGAATGAAAGCACCAGTGTAATTGAGTAGGTTAGGCCAGCAGATTAGTATAAATTGAGGCACTTTTTACATATATTCATATTCATTTTGTTTATGAACATGTTCAAAATCAAATGCTCTTTATTTTCTAGGATTTAATTTTAGCCTTTTTAAATCTAATCCAATGGCTTTTTGGACCTGCGCCCCATCCTCACAGCTTGAGAGCAAAGGTATAGAGCTAGCATACTCAGTATGAGATGACACCTGGTTTCTCAGTATTTAAGCTTGTAACATGCATGGTAGAGAATGCCAGTTTTAGCTAAGTACTTTTGTCTGTTAACATAACATCTTTTAAGGCTGGTTTTTTCTTACTTGGATGTAATTTTTCTCATCAGACAATATTGATTTGAGTTAGATCAAGGTGGTCCTCACCTTTTGCTGCTTTGTATTTCATTGTTCTATTATTTTTACTTTTGCTTAAGCAGACATTTTTACCTAACTTTTGTCTTCTGCCACTAATGTTTGCCAATACCTAAACACATGATGACTGCCCACAGTGTGCATGCAATCTTGGAACAACAAAGTTTTCAAGTAGGGCTTTTCCTTTGTGCATAGTTTAGAAGAATACTGTATTTTCAAAGACTCCAATTTTAACGCCACCAGTATATACTTGGCAGTTTGTGTATATATGTAGCACAAATCAATTGTAGAATTGCAGGTTAGTGTTGGTACTGGAGTGAAGGAATAGGAAGCGGGATATAGAGAGCTAAGAGCAAGATTACAAAAATGAGAAATCACTATTAGTGCTCATATCTTGAACCCCTCAACTATATTACCTGTTAAACAAGTGCAGGGATACCATGTGTGGTATATGGGAGCTTCCATTTTAAAGTATACCAAGCATAATTCTAGCTACCCCAAACCCTTTACATTAAGTAGCTAGTTACTCAGAGCCTTCTGTATTGGACAAGGCAAAACTGCCCCATGGGTAAGGTGACCACATTTTAACATTGGTAAAGCGGGACACCATAGATAAAACTCATATCCTGGTGAAATAGCCACATGGCAGCTGAAAACCGTATACCTAGCTTGTCGTGCATTCTTTCCAAAAATAGGGACTTTTTAAAAAAAAAAACTGGGATGCGGGACACATTGTTAAAAAGCGGGACGTCTGGTCACCTTCCCCATGGGGTTTCGAAGGCTGTTACGTTTCATAGAAGCCAACTGCCTCATCTTTCTCCTTTCTATCTAAATACACGGCAGCAGCTTTCTAATGTCCCGTGGGGTAATCTGTAATCTAACCACAGGTTGGCAGTTTGAAACCACCAGAGGCTTCATGGGAGAAAGACTGGGCTTTCTACTTCTATAGAATTACAGTCTCAGAAACTCATAGTGAGTTCTGCCCTGTTCTTTAGGGTTGTAAGTCAGCATCAACTCAATGGCAGTGAGGGTGTTTTTGTTTTGTTTTTTCTTTGGAGCTTAACCTTTATGGAAACTGCCACCTGGTGGGTTTGATAGGTGACCTTTCTTCAGCATTTGGGTGCTTAACCATTGTGACAGCAGGGCTCCTTTTACTAGCAAAAGCTCCTTTTAACCTTTTTATTTTTTATTTTTTTAAGGATGCAAGCTTCTAGAAGTGTAAATGACAAGTGTGGACTTTACAGACAAGTGGGAATACCTTGCACCATTCACTGTGGAGCCCAGACTAGAATCTCAGACCCCAAACCCAAATTTACCAGTGTCTCTCAATAGAAGAAAAGACTCTTCTGTTTTGAGACAAAGAATATGATAGTCCCAAGGAAACTTAGAGACGAAGAGTGTCAATAGGAGGAAATTGAGGCCCAGAGAGGCGATCTAACTTGCTCCGTGTTGTCATTTCTAGCCAGTGGCAGAATTCTGGAACAAGAATCTGTACCTTAAAATGTTCTTTTATTGATGCAGGCCAGGGATTGATAAAGGAATGGGCGTGAAGTCTGCTTTGAAGATGCTAAGAAAGGGCTCTAGTTCTCCAGAGCCCTTATAATCCAATAAGATTATAATGTGAAGTATGTAATTCTAAAATTTCTAGTTGCCATTTAAAAAAAAAGGAAAAAGTGTAAAATTATATTCCTATTTTAATTTGTTATCCAAAATACCATTTCAGCATCTAATCAATATGAAAGATTACTAATGAGATTTTGCTTAAAATTTTTTTTTCAAGCTTTAGGTCTTCAAAATCGAGTGTATATTTGAAACTTTAACATAACTTAGTTTGGACTACCCACATTTATGGCTAGGTGCTATCATATTGGAAAGCATAGCTCTGGAGCAGCAGTTCTCAACCAGTGGGTCACGACCCCTGTGGGGGGGGTGTTGAACGACCCTTTCACAGGGGTCGTCTAAGACCATTGGCAAACACATATTTCTGGTGGTCTTAGGAACTGAGACGTCACTTCTCTATCCTCTCCAGGCGGGTCTGCCCACATGTAAATATGCCCACATAGGAGTACCCGGTGTGAAGAATGTTACTTAGGGTACACCATGGTTCAAGACAAAATTTCACTTAATTTTCAATTAGAATCTTTCACTATATATAATTACATACTGTTTTTGTGATTAATCACTGTGCTTTAATTATGTTCAGTTTGTAACAATGAAAATACATCCTGCCTATCAGCTATTTATATTATGATTCATAACAGTAGCAAAATTATAGTTTTGAAGTAACAACAAAAATAATTTTACGGTTGGGGGGTGGTCACCACAACATGAGGAACTGTATTTATAGGGTTGCGACATTAGGAGGGCTCAAAACCACTGCTCTAGAGAATTTGTCGCCCCTCTTTGTACATGCTATGCTTTGTGACTTGCGTACACTATTAATTTCTTTGGCCAGAAAATTCTTTATAGATCAGATTGTATATAGAATTGTTTTTTTCAGTTGGATTTAAACCATAGCAATTATCTTAGATTCTTAAGAGTTTTGTTTACCCACAGGAGACTAGTGTTTATGTAAATGTATTTAGTATCATACTTGGAAATAGGAAAAACTGAATGCATAGTCCTAGTTGCTTGCAACTTTATGGGAACTAATCAAGGTTGGCTTCTGATTAGTTTCATATCACACTAATTGTTGCTTTTGATGTAAGCCTTTTCAATTCTTGCAAATGCATGGGTATTTTGCTAAATTATTGTTTAGCATGCCAAAAGTGATTATGACAGCATAGTACTTTAGTATTTTAATTATGTAAAGAGTAGTTTGTTATTTTCAATGATTATAGCTTAAAGCAGGGTGCTAACTGTTTTTAAATAGACCCTGTGTTTACTCAGGTATTTTGGTAGGACACTCAATAAGGCTGCTAATTTTAATTTCTGTAGACCTCTGTCCAGTATAAGTGTATATAGATTTTTTATCATGCTATTTAAATTGGGAGATCAGTTCCCTGAGTTCTTATTTCTAGTTAGAAAATTCATGCTAATACTTAGACCAAACTTCATCTTTTATCAACTTTTGACTTTGGTTGTAGAAAAAGAGAAGGAGCCACCAGGAGAAGCTCCTCCAGATGATGACGTTCTCATTGTGTACGAGCTAACTCCAACCCCTGCGCAGAAAGCCCTTGCCAGCACACTGAAGCTCCCTTCAACTTTCTTCTGTTATAAGAATAAACCAGATTATGTTAGTGAGGAAGAGGATGACGGTAAATGTTTTGTTACTTTTAAAGCTCTCTGTTCAGATGCTGATTTCCGTGGTTGGGTAATGTTGTTGTTAGGTGCTGTTGAGTCAGTTCTGACTGAACAAAACACTTGGTCCCGCTCCAGCCTCACAGTTGTTAAATTACCTTTGCAGCAACAGTCAACCCAACCAGTCGACTGTCATCCATGCCCTTCACTATATCCATGCCCCTGTACTTTACCAAGCACGATGCCCTTTTCCAGAGACTGGTCTCACCTGATAAAATGTTCAAAGTACAGAGCAGGTGTTTTAGGAGAGCTGAAAGCAGTCATAATTTTTCAGAGCCATAGAGTAGTTTGAGATTATGGAAAACTTGGTATGCTATGTCAATATTTAAAGCAGAGGAGTTTACATTATTAAGATTTAGAAGTATCACGTAGTGGCATAGAGCAGGATCATAAGATCAGCCATATCCCAAGAGGAAAGCGTAAATTCAGCTCTGACGTTGGAAGAAGCAGTCGCTGCCAGGGACTCATTTCCGACTCAGAGAGCCGACCTGCCCCGGGCTCCCAGGGCTGCACAAGGCACAGAGAACTGGCAAGATTAGTTGCTGTTTGGATGTGAGAAGTGGCGGAAAGGGTGAAGTTGGGAATAATTCTGAGGTTTCTGACTTGGGACCCCCAAATGCTTACAAAATTTTCACATAAGCTTTGTACTTTAAGATGAAGATTTTGAAGCAGCTGTGAAGAAACTGAATGGGAAACTGTATTTGGATGACTCAAAGAAACATCAAGCAGGTGTGTTAAGCTTAAATGACAATATGTGTGTGTGTGTGTGTGTGTATTTAAAATCTACTTAATACTGCTTTTTTGTGTGTGTTTCTGTATATGAAATCTAAGCTAGGTGAATCTAGAGAGCTCTCTTACCACCCCCACTGCCACTGTGTGTGTCCCCCTCTCCCCCCAACACTTACTGTACATGCTGCCCCTATAGGTTCATCACATAAAACTCTTCTTAATGTGACTGAATTATCGAATTGTATGATAGGTGAGTATATGCCAAACAAGTAGTTGTAAACACAAAATCTGCTTAACCTTAAAAGGAGCTTGGGTTTTTTTGTTTGTTTGTTTTTTGGGGTTCTTCCCATAGTAGCTGCGGTGATGTGCCTAAATAATTTTCTGCTTACTTCACTTAGATAACCTCAAACAGCATGCATACTGAAAGGTTCAAGTCTTTGGGTCTATTTAAGAATAGTTGTGAAACTACCTGGGCCATCAAGGGTTACTGTATACATCTATTCAGACAGCCACCAAGTCTGAAAAATTTCATTTTGTAGAGGCAGTGTGCCATGTGGATGTTCAAATGTTGGAGCTGGTAGGTGTGCCCAGGCCAAACAGTAGGATTGGTGGGCCAAAAGGACCCTGAATGTTTGTTGTGTGTGCTTAAAAAAGCAAAGTCATGCTGAACTGAAAAGTTTAGATGTGGATTCTCTGGTCATTGAGCACATCCAGGTGAACAATGCCCCCATGATGCAATGCCAACTCAGGCTAGGACTAACCCACACATGAGCTCCAGTATATTGAAATGATTAGTAAAAGGTGACAAATTACTCCTAAACCAGAAGAGGAGATTGCACTGAAGAAAACACATCCTAGAATTAACTGAAGGAGCAAAACTTTACGGCTTGGGAGTAAATTAAGTTAAAGTAAAAGTTTTAAAAAAGGAGAGGGGTTTAATATGATAATTTCTATATGTCACAAATTTACTTATGTTATAACCCTTGGATATTTAAAATGAGCTGAAAAACATTCTTCTTCTGATGGTCCTTGTTCCTCATTTAAATTTACAGTTTTTCTTAACTGGACCTGTAGTTAGTAGATTACTTTGAGATTCGCTGTTGTAGAGTGGTTGGACATCTACTTTTCTCTTAACTTTCTTTTATGTGTGTTGTATTTATTTTTCAGTTACCGACAAAGAATGTGTTATTGTTTGGGAAAAGAAACCCACACTTGCAGAGAAAGCAAAAGCAGATATATTAAAGCTTCCACCTACCTTTTTCTGTGGAGTATGCAGTGATACTGAGGAGGACAATGGAAATGGGGAAGACTTTCAGTCAGAGCTTCAAAAAGTTCAGGAAGCCCAAGTAAGAATACCACCATTGTTTTCTTCTGTAATGGTCTTTGTGGATGTTGTAAACTTTAGAATAGTCACACGGCTACCATGGAGTTGATTCTGACTCATGGCAACCTTTTAGCACACAGTTAAACTGCTCCCTAGGGTTTCAGAGACTATGTGTGGTTAGCAACCCAAGCCCACAACACTCTCAGGGCTCTTCCTCTTAATGGATTTCAAATAGATTAGATTCATGGATCATTGATCCATGATCATGGATCAACCAACATACCCAGGCAAGATAGACTCTTGTTACATAAGCGGACAATCAGGACCCTTCCTGTGTGCGTATTCGATTTTGGGGGGATAGGGAGAATGAAAATATTCTTAAGAATACCTCTTACAATACTAAGAAAGGTACTAACTAGTGCACTGGCTTCACGTTGAGTTGCTGAGTGCAAGGTCAGTGGTTTGAAACTATCAACCACTCTAAGGGAAAAAGATGAAGCTTTCCTTCCCCAGAAAGAGTTCCCCTCTCGGTGACTCCCTCATGCCTCTGACTGTCTTTGGGCGCTCTCTAGCACCAGATTGTTTCAGTGCCTGAGATCCTTAGGCAGTTTTTTTCGATCCTTCTTTCAGAGCTTTCTAATAGTTGATTCATCTGTTTCAGCTCAGGTGTTTAATGGGGGTTTGGGGTTGAGACTGTGGCTACTCTATCTTTCCTGAAAACAAAAGTCCTCTATTTTTTTTAAAATGAGGTATATGGTACTTTTTGGAAATCAGTGTTTAATAGCATAGTAATTTGTGGTTTCTGCTTTGCAGAAATCACACAGTGAGCAAATGAGTGTTACTACTCCGTCTGAGAGGATGTGTACAGGTGGGATGAAAGTGTCCCCTCCATTTTTCTGTAACTCTGAAGAAGCAGGTTCTCAGATCAAATCTGTTACTTCAGCACCGATTTCTTCGGGAACCGAGGACAAACCTGTAGATCTGTCTACAAAGAAGGAAAATGAAACAGATTCCACAAGCCAAGGTAAATCTTGATACCTATTTATATAAGCCTTATCGGCATGCATTTCATAAATAAAACCGATTTACTAGAGAAGGTACACATTCAAAGGTAGACTTAAAAAATTTCTTAAAACAACTTTTTAAAGGGACTTAAAATTATTAATAATGACCAGAAACTCCTACTGGCTTGCTCACAAAGATAATAAACATCTATTTGTATCATTAAGAGTTGTGGATTCAGGGAAAGACCAGGCATTATGGTGATGGTCTGTCCCATCTGATCATAAAGGTCAATTGTTTGCATATGTGGGAAATTTCTTTGTAGTAATATTTTCATTGGAATATGATCTGAGTTGTATCATCACTCAAACGTACTTAAAATATTATACGTACACATGAAGTAAATGTATAGTAGGTTTGTCAATTGCTTATGGTGCTACATAAATATCTTTCTTTTTCATTTTCAGTCTTGTAGCTTTCTCCCTTACCTTTATATCTCAATTGGTATCTGGGAGTCTCCTTAAGTTTTCTTGCTTTGTACATGTGTATTAGCACCCTGGTGACACAGTACTTGGTGCAAACCTACCAGTGGCTTCCTGGGAGAAAAGACCTGGCAGTCTGCTCCTACAAAGATGAGAGCCCAAGGAGCCCTGTGGGGCAGGCCTACTCTGGTGCCAAGTTGGCACCAACTCAGCAGCATGCAATGCTGACTACATTACCAAAATTAATCAGAAGTAGGTAAACATTTTACCAATATTTTTATAAACCCAAACCAAACTCACTGCCTTCAAGTCCCTTCCTACCCATGGTAATCCCTTCAGACAGGGTCGAACTGCGCCGTGGGTGTTCAAGCCCATAACGCTAATTATGGAGTAGAAAGCCTGCCTCTCTTCAGTGCCGCAGCTGCTGCTGGTTTCAAGACACCCGGCTTTGTGCTTCGCTGCCCCCCTCATAACTACTGTGCCACCAGGACTCCTTTCAAACTATGGTAGGGGAGAAAAGTCTATCTGACCTCAGTCATCATGCAGTTTCTTAAGAGGAAAAGGAAGGCATAGAACTTTCATGAATCATGCTGCATCCCATTGGCAGAATTAATATTCTGACCCCACAACTCCTGATGATTTGCTACCCTACATCCTATAGAGGAGACATTTGATTCTTGTCAGTTTAATGCAGAAGACAAATGTTGTTATGATGGATAACTGAAATTGCATAGCTTTCTTGAAATCCTTTTATATTACAACCCATTGCTCTGGAGTCAATTCTGCCACATCACAACCCTCTAGGAGCGAGGACACCCTATGGCAATCCAGACAGAAGCAGACAGTCTCCCTTTTGTCTGGGAGAGCTGGTGGGTGGATAGCAAGCGGGTGTTTGACCACACCACCACAGCTCCTTTCTAGATTAAAGGAGCCCTTATTAAAGCAGGAACTGTGTAGCTTGGTCATCTGGTTTAACACAGTTACTTCTTATTTTTAAGCCATTTTATTGGGGGCTTGTAACAACACTTATCACAATCCATGCATACATCCATTGTGTCAAACACATTTGCACATTTGTTGCCATCATCATTCTCAAAACATTTTCTTTCTACTTGAGCCCTTGATATCAGCTCCTCATTTTTTCTCCTCCCTTCCCGCTCCCCTCTCCTTCACAAACCCTTGATAATTTATAAATTATTATTATTTTGTCACATCTTATACTGTCCGGTGTCTCTAGTCACCCACTTTTCTGTTTTCCATCCCCCGGGGAGGAGGTTATATGTAGATCCTTGTAATTGGTTCCCCCTTTCCACCCCACCTTGGCTCCACCCTCCCGGTATCCCCACTGTCACCCCTGGTCCTGAAAGGATCATCTGTCCTGGATTCCCTGTGTTTCCAGTTCCTATCTGTACCAGTGTACATCCGCTGGTCTAGCCGGATTTATAAGGTAGAATTGGGATCATGATAATGGGGGGGAGGAAGCATTTAGGAACTAGAGGAAAGTTGTACATTTCATCAACACAGTTCCTTCTTTAACGTGTCTTCAAAAATGATTTTTCTCGTGGTTGTATTTTTGCTGTATTCTTTGCGAATAGCTCCTGCAAGCTTAATACCTCAGGAGATCAAAATTAGATATGTATCAGCTCAAAGTTCTTTGTCATATTTTTTGCTCCTGAGGAAACTGTACAAGGTTCTACGCCCTTGAGTTCTGGATGAAATTGTGATGTTTTAAAAATAATTATTAAATCATTGATTTCTTTTGCCAGTGGAAAGCAAAACAGTTCCAATTGTGTTTGGATGCAGCACAGGGCTATCATTTGCAGACTTGGCTTCCAGTAGTTCTGGGGATTTTGCTTTTGGCTCTAAAGGTAAGACCAAGAAGATAGACATTAATGATTATTTATAGACTCAAGCACAATGGTAAGAAACATTCGTTTTCCACAATGCTTTGTCAAATCTGGTAATTCTATCCCTCTTCTGTATTTTATTGTTTTAATAAGGGAGGGCTTTTTTGGGGCTATTTTCTCAAGTTTACTGTAAGCCATGCTGCTTGTTACCCCAGGAAGAAGTTGAGGTCAAGAAATTAAAATGTGCTTAGGCTTCTGTGGCAAATGTGGAACTTGCAAATCTGACCTCTTTGTGGGCATTCTGTGTTCATTTTTCTAAATGTGATCAAAGGTTTCAGGAAATTAACTGTTCACCTACGTTTCCAATGCTTTTAGGCACCGTGCCTTTTAGTAAACAATTTCAAAAAGTCTCATCTTTGTATTAAGGTCAAATAGTATGCAATGTGTAAATGTACCGTATTCATTAAATGAAGCAAACTTGTAGAATAATATAGTTTTAAACACTTTCACAGAAAGTATTTTTATCACATTGATAGAAATTCCATGCATTGACAAATACAGAACAAAAAGCTTATAAAAAATGATGCCTTTATTTAAATATACTAATTTATTTATCAGATAAAAATTTCCAGTGGGCAAATACTGGAGCAGCTGTGTTTGGTACACAGTCAACCAATAAAGGTGGTGAAGATGAAGATGGTAGTGATGAAGAAGTAGTTCATAATGAAGATATCCATTTTGAACCAATAGTGTCATTACCAGAGGTAAACATTACAAAAGGAAAATCTTAATAACTAATTTCTCATTTTAGGTTTAAAACACAAGCTTAATTATTAGGGCTCATTTCTTTGTGAGTGTTCAGAATTTGAGGTGTAAACTAGATGTGCATTAAGTGTACCCTTGTAATAATGTCTTTTTTAAAGTTTATATATATATATGAGAAGGCTTCTAAAAACTTGTGGGGAATATGTATTCTATAAATTTTTGAAGTTCATGCATACACATTTCTTATAAATTCTATTCACATTATTGTCTAGAACTAACAAAATTCAAGCATTATTAGAATATCGTTTGTTTTCATAGGATAATTCTGGGGGCCTAAGAAGACAAAAAAAAGTCTTGTATTTTCCAAAATACTTTCAATAAAATGTAACAGCTGTATTTTCTGTAGAAGAATGTTGCTTTAAGCAAGTATTTTGTAGTTTTTGAACCACAATCAGTAGTTATTATTTCACTTAAAAAATAAGGAATGTTTGAAGCATTTAATTTCCAAAAGTGGAAGAACAGCATGTAAAGAGAAATGATCTATAATGACCAGTTAGGTCTTCAGTACTTCCTGAAAATCAGATGTATTCCTAGCTCTGGGATATTACCAATTATTTTGATACTAAAGTTCAAATTTATTAATTTGAACCTCAAAAAAATAAAGCCTACAGAATGTGTATATTTGGAGTGTGTTATAAACAGCTTATACATAGATCATTTCCTTTGCTATTAAAGGTAGAAGTAAAATCTGGAGAAGAAGATGAAGAAATTTTGTTTAAAGAGAGAGCCAAACTTTATAGATGGGACCGAGATGTCGTTCAGTGGAAAGAGAGAGGTGTTGGAGATATAAAGATCCTTTGGCACACAATAAAGAACTATTATCGGATCCTAATGAGACGAGACCAGGTCTTTAAAGTATGCGCAAATCATGTAATTACAAAAACAATGGAATTAAAACCGTTAAATGTTTCAAATAATGCTTTAGTTTGGACTGCTTCAGATTATGCTGGTGAGTTTCTATATTGGGATCCTATTTTTAACTTTGGGGAGTTTTTAATCACCCATAATGAACACACAATCTTGTAAGTTACAGTTCACAGTAAGGTTATTGAATTCTTTTTTCCTTCAATAGATGGAGAAGCAAAAGTAGAACAGCTTGCAGTGAGATTTAAAACTAAAGAAATGGCTGATTGTTTTAAGAAAAAATTTGAAGAATGTCAACAGAATTTATTGAATCAGACAGAACAAGCATCACTTACAGCAGAATTATCCAAGGAAACAAATCCTGTGGTATTTTTTGATGTTGGCGTAGATGATGAATCTCTAGGACGTATAACCATGGAGTTATTTTCAAACATTGTTCCTCACACTGCTGAGAACTTCAGAGCTCTGTGCACCGGAGAGAAGGGCTTTGGTTTTAAGAATTCTATTTTCCACAGAATAATTCCAGATTTCATTTGCCAAGTAAGTATTACTACATATTACAGCCGAAGGCTAAACGAATTCACCACATGTTTGGGGAAATTGGAGTTTTTCCCTTTGCCCTCATCCTGTAGTTTTTGCAACATTTCTTTCAGTTCTTCTTCTCCACCGCCCAAAACTTTGAATTTAACTTGGTTTATATTTATGACCTTGTTACCTGCTAGGAATTGGGTGGGCAAAGAACTTCTTTATGTGATCTTTTTTCAAAATTGGGTACTTCTTAGTTTTCAAACTACATTCTTTTTTTTCTTTCTTTTTTTTTTTTAATCCACAGGATTTTATTCTGCCCTTGCCCTCGCTTCCTCCCCCAATTCCCTTCTTTGTTTTTTTTTTTTTTTTGGTATTCATTTTATTGGGGGCTCGTACAAATCTTATCACAACCCATCCATCCATCCATGGTGTCAAGCACATTTGTCGCCCCCATCATTCTCAAAACATTTGCCTTCCGCTTGATCCCTTGGTATCAGCTCCTTATTTTTTCCCTTCCCTCCCCGCTCCCCTTTCCCTCATGAACTCTTGATAATTTATAAATTATTATTATTTTGTCATATCTTATCCACTGCCTTCACTCACTTTTCTGTTGTCCGTCCCCCAGGGAGGAGATTATATGTAGATCCCTGTATCGGTTATCCCTTTCCCCCCACTGTACTGCCACCCTTCTGGTATCGCCACTCTCACCACTGGTCCTGAAGGGGTCATCTGCCCTGGATTCCCTGTTTCTAGTTCCTATCTGTACCAGTGTACATCCTCTGGTCTAGCCAGATTTGTAAGGTAGAATTGGGATTATAATAGTGGGGGGCGAGGAGGAAGCATTTAGGAACTAGAAGAAAGTTGTATGTTTTCTTTGTTGCCACACTGCACCCTGACTGGCTCGTCTCCTCCCTACAACCCTTCCGTAAGGGGATGTCCAGTTGTCTACAGATGGGTCTTGGGTCCCTAATCTGCACCCCCTCTCATTCACAATGATTTGATTTTTTTTGTTCTTTGATGCCTGATACCTGATCCCTTTGACACCTCGTGATCACACAGGCTAGATGGCCTCTTGTTTACCTCCAAGCCTTTAAGACCCCAGACACTGTAACTTTTGATAGCCGGGCACCATCAGCTTTCTTCACCACTTTTGCTTATGCACCCATTTGTCTTCAGCATCAAACTACATTCTTACGAAAGTTAGGTTTTTACAGTTATCCTGTAGTCATGAGTTCTGTGTGTTTTATTCAGGAATCCTAAATTGGATTTTTTTTTTCCTCCCAGGGAGGAGATATTACCAAACATGATGGAACAGGAGGACGGTCCATTTACGGAGATAACTTTGAAGATGAAAATTTTAATGTGAAACACACTGTTCCTGGGTTACTGTCAATGGCCAACCATGGCCGGGACACCAATAATTCTCAATTTTTCATAACACTGAAAAAAGCAGAACATCTGGACTTTAAACATGTAGTATTTGGGTTTGTTAAGGATGGCATGGATACTGTGAAAAAGATGGAATCATTTGGTTCTCCCACCGGGTTGGTTAGTCGAAGAATTTGTATCACAGAATGTGGACAGATATAAAAATCAATGTTTTTCATAGTTAACTTTATCTGTATCAACAGTTAAATTGAAGCTTAGCTGTCACAGACAATTTGGCAATTATGTTCAGCTTTTGAAATTGGACGCTTCCCATGTATAAATGTAAAATTGCAGCTTATAGCTGTTGTCATTTTTTAATGTGTTATAATTGACCTTGCATGGTGTGAAATAAAAGTTTAAACACTGGTGTATTTCAGGTGTACCTGTGTTTATGTACTCCTGACCTTTGTATTAAAAGTGGAATACTAATCTTGTTAAAAGCAATAGACCACCTCAATCTATTGAAGAATATGATATATGCAATTTTATTTTAATTCCTTTTAAGATATTTGGACTTCCTGCATGGATATACTTAACCTTTTGAATAAAGGGACCATAACTTAGATTTTTATTTTTAAGTTTTTTAAGATTTGAAGTATATTTGGTAATCTTAATTGTTGTGTGCTCATTTGTGCAGACTCATTTATGAATGGGTAGAGCCACAGAAGCTAGAGACCTAACCAAAGTGCTCTTCTACAGTCTTGCACCTCCTGTATAGTTAGAGGCTAACTTTTAAGTAGGATCCTTTTCTTGAAATGATATGTAGCTTCCTGTGCCCTTTGAAAGGCAGTAATTTTTACATTTTAAACAAGTTGATGATTTCCTTTGAGTTTTTGTTTTATTTTATAACTCTTCTGTCATCTGTCTCTACTACCTCAGAAACTGCAGCTTAGTTCTGATGAAAAGAACTTGATTTTTTTTCCTTGAAGTTATTGTGATAAAGTATGAATATTTTTAAAAAGGTCTATATCGTGTTGTTTGGGTAAAGATTTGCTTTATTACTAGATTGTTGCAGTACCTTTTCTGGTGAATTTTGTAGCAGAAATAAAGTAACTTGATAACAGCCATGACATTTAAAAAATTCATTACTTGTGCATTTAGTTGTCTGTTCACCAATTCTAGTACCAGCCATAAAGGAGGGCAATTAAAGATCACTAAATAAAAAAAAATCCACCATGTAATTTCTAGAGTTCCTAAGGAAGCGACTCTTCTCAGGTCTGCTTTACATTGAAAAATCTATTCGGAAATGGCTGGTGTCACAGTTCAGCCAACTATTCAACTGTGCAGTGTTCTCACCTGCCTATTTACTCAGTGTGGACCTACAGAGAACCCGTGTAGAGCACATTTTGCATAAAGTAAATTTCTAGGTTACAAGAGTCCAACCTGTGTTAATGTAAATTTTGCCCCCATTTCAAATTATCAAACCAATTCCTGCTCTCACAAATTTTTCATTTTCAATCACTTTCACTTCATGCACATACAACTTTTAGTCACTGACAAGGCTTTGGCCCCTTCCTTGCACTAATCCCCACTGCTGGAAACTCCTTTGTGGCTCAGCCTATGGGACAGGCTGGGGCTGCTCCTTAAGAGTTCATCAAGACTGAATCGTTATGGGAGCAGATAGCCTCATTGTCCTCTCACAAAGCTGCTGACCTTGCTTAACACTGTGCTGCCAGGGCTACTGCTCGCACTTACCCACTGCCACCAAGTTGATTCCAGCTCAGGCTGTCGGGTGCCATCTACAACCCTCTGTCCTCAGTACGGACTGCCTAGTCGTTGAGCATGCTCACAGTTGTTATGTTTAAGCCTAGTCGTGAGTGGCTACGACTCACCATCTGTCACTGACCCTTTACCAAACACGTTATTTCCCAAGGGCTCACCTGAATCATGTCCAAAGTATGTCAGACCAATCTCATGCTGCTTAGCATTCTTTAGGCAGTACATGGTCCTTTCAATATTCTCTGCTTCAAAAATTCATAGGAACTCTGGGTATGGTTTCTGAAACGAATTTTTCACAGGAGCAGACTTAGTTTCTCCTGAGGATCCATTGGTGGGTATGAAGCACCAGCCTTGCAGATAGCAGCCTAATGCTAATGTACTGCCTGAATCCCCTTTTTGCACTAAAACCAAACTCACCCCCAGTGAATTGATTTCAACTCAAAGCTACCCTAAAGGAGAGAGCATTGCCTTTCTGGGTTTCCAAGGCCAAAAATCTTTACTGGAGCAGAAACCTCATGTTTTTCCTTTGGAAGAGCTGGTGGTTTTGCAAACGTACTAACATTAAGGCTAAGAAACTGCACCTATCACATACTTGATGCACTTGTGTTGATTCCCACTCAAGTGACCCTTTTTAGGTTTGCCAAGACTGTAAGTGGTCTGCCACAACCTGACAATGCTGCCTGTTTGAACTTACCTACAAGTTCAATTTAAAGGGACACTTGGGAACTGATTTTGTTTGTAACAAGGGGACTGGCCCTACTTTATGTAAAGTAACCATCTTCCCTTAGTGTAGTAGCTGCACTTAGCAGGAAGGGGATTTATGCTCCATTGAAGAAGTGAGTGACCTATAGCAGTCACCTGTGCTGTCACCAAATAAAATTACCTACCTACTCATTAAACTCACTGCCGTCAGGGTAGAACAGCCCCCAGGGGTTTCTGAGACTACTGAAATACAAATACAAATCCTCATCTTTCTCCTTGGGAGCAGCTGCTGATTTTGAACCTTGCGTTTAGCAGCCCAATATATAACCCATTGTCACCAAGGCAAATGCCTCCAAAAGAGGTGAACACCCTGACTGCGTCATTTCTGACCCATAGCTACTGTAGGACAAGGTGGACTTGCCCCTGTGGGTTCCTGAGACTGGAGAGTAACACTGGGAATCAAGCTTTTATTTTGTTACTGAACCCAACTAAGTGCTTTAAAAATTAGCTGGCTTTTATTCTCATATAGACTACACTTTCTAAGTGATGCTCCAGCCAGCTGTGTGGTCCTATGCTGAGTTCCACGTTCTGTCTTAAGTTTGTTCCCTGCGAGGACCGAGACGGGCTGCGTCATGACGTAATCCGCTCTCCGAGCTCCGCCCCCTGCCGCCCCGTCGCGGTTTAAACCCTCTTCCCGTAGAGACGCCCGCGATCGCCTGGAGTCATGGAGCCGAGGGTCGTCAAGCCCCCAGGTCAAGATCTCCAAGTGGAACGTCTCAAAAGCCTCTACGGACTCGGGGCCAGCTGCCCGGAAGAGGTGAGGCCCATTTTCCCGGTGGGAGGCTGCGCGCGTGCGCCCCGGGGCGCTGGAGAAGCGTCTCCGGAGAGTCGGTGGAATGGGTGCGCCTAACTGCGTCTGGCCCGTGCGTCTGGTCACCGAGGTTGGGCCGCTGCCTTGGAGCCCTGAGCCCAGGTGGCTTCAGGGGGTAGAGCTCCAGCTCTCTGGAGGCGCCTGAAAGTGCTTGGAAAGAGCTGTAAACTTTTTAAACAAGGGGCCAGTTCACTGTCCCTCAGACCCGTTGGAGGGCCGGACTATTGTTTAAAAAAAACTATGAACAAATGCCTATGCACACGGCACATATCTTATTTTGAAGTAAAAGCCAAAACGGGGCAAAAACACCCGGCGGGCTGGATAAATGTCCTCGGCGGGCCGTAGGTAGTTTGAGGACCCCTGCCAGTGAAACTTCTGCTGTTGGAGACGAGTAATTTGTGGCCCAGGATTTCTAAATGTCTAAGCTTGGCTCATGGATGTCACTGAGGAGGTTAAGCCAGAAAGAATTTTACAGAAACCACAGGGATCTTTATTAAACGGCAGTGTCAAAGTGCGAAGCAATCGTTTCTCAGCATCTAGGTCCATACACTTTTGAAGGCGGTGCTTCCTGGGAGTCGGGATCAACTGGAAGGCAGCGAGGAGGAGGTCCCTTCCCCCCAAGCATGCTGTGCGTTTCGATGTCACCATAGCAAAACGGTAGTTTTGCTCTCTGTAAGTGTTCTTTGAGTCTGGGGAACCAAAACGCCCGAATGGGTCCGAACAGGGTTGTGTTGTAGAGGAGCTAATGTTTCCGGAGGAATTCTCCTGGGACAACCCTCGAAGAATGAGCGGGTGCAGTGTTGAGACCAAAAAAAACTACCGGCCTTCGTTCCCACGGCAGTTTTCCATTTTCGTACACTTTCTTCATAATTAGCCTTCGTGATCGCCCCGTGTTCTTTGAGGAAATCTACCAAAATGACCCATTTGGAATCCCACGAACAGTCTTCACAACCTGCGCTGCCTTTCTGCATTGCGTTAAACTGGCCTGCAGATTCCCTCTGGAAAGCACTGTTTGGATGGGATCGTTTTATTATTATTTTTTTTGAGGGCACCATAATGAGACTCAGACTTAACTCACTGCCATGGAGCCAGCGCTGACTCATAGTGACCCCCGTCCCCTGTGGCTTTCTGAGACTGCTTACAGAAGTCTTTCTTCCAGGCAGCTGCTGGTGGGTTCAAACTGCTAACCATGCTGCTAGCATTCCGTTACCACTGCAGGAACAGGGCTCCTCTATACAGCCATGTAGATCTGTCCCTTGTGTTTCTGAATTATTTGGGGTGATTTGCCCAATTATTTGTGCCTCTTTGCCCCTGTATACAAGGGGGCTTTAAAAAGTTCGTGGAAACTAAATGGTGCCGGGCTATCAGAAAGAATAGCATCTGGGCGTTAAAGGCTGTCTTAAACAACTATATGAGTGGGGTTTCAACCAAGCCCACATGGAAGAAAAACACCAAGCCTGTGTGATCCAAAGACTGTAAATAAACTCCAAATTGAAAGAGAGAACTGTATTAGAGCTTAAATTGTGAACTTGATACTGGTTTTCCCCGTTATTATGATCTTAACTTTGATCATTTGGTTAAGATTGTGTCCACCAGGTTTTTCTATGTTAACTTTATAAATTGATTTCCTTTGTAATTAATGTATAATTTGTAGGGAGCTGTTTTGACAATGTAAATGTGTTCTTATCACACAAATTAAGTATGACTTTTTCTCTTTAGTATGATTTTTCAAATTCTGACCAAGCTAAAAGTAAGAGGAGATCTCTAACCTACACAGGTAAGGCAATAGAGAATTTTGTATATTTTGGGGTTTTAACAAATTTAAATTGAGAGACAATAAAAGATGAAAGTAATTTGTTCGGTATCATGTGATATTAAACTTAAGGCTAGTGATAGATATCATGTGATATTAAACTTTTTTTCAGTTGATTACTAAACCAATTGCACCAAAATTATTTTTTGTCAGGGGAGGTAAATGTGTTGATATCTTAAAAAGCCAAGTGACTTATTTAGATGTTTTTATTATAGTATTTCTTCTTTGAAGATGTTAAAAACTAAACAAAGTATATTGGGTAAGGAGAACTAATTGCTGGTTTTCAAGGGATAAACTTATTCAAATTACTGGGGTAGTAATTATTGCTGTGGAGGAGGAATTGATCAATAAATGTGCATGAGTAAATCCACAGCGACAGTAAATGGGTAAATAACTTCCTAGGGGCATGACAGGGGAGGTTGAGGGGAAACGGGGAACTAACAATAAGGAGTGCAAGAAATAAGACAATGTTCTAAAATTGTGCTGATAATTGAATTGAGTTGCTGGTAACTATTGAATTATGTGCTATGTGAATTATATGTGAATAAAATTACTTTTAAAATGTGTTTGGAAAAGATTCTACTGTACAATTGAATGAGTAGGACAACATGTGCTGAGCTGTTGCTAAGTGTTTTTATTCAATTAATTGACGATCCTGGAAATATGAGGAGGTTTCAAAGTTTGTGG